TTTCTCTTCCTGTTCTCTGTTAAGTCGTTCAACTTTGCCCACTTTTCTTGTTTTTATTGAGTTCAGATTCTAATTGATGGTTTAATTTGTTGAAGTGTATTCAAGTTTGTAGAATATTGTGTGTTCGAAAAATCACATAACCCATAAAGTAAAGCTTTTTTTTTCTGAAAAATAACTAAGAGGACACCCTGCTTCTGTTATTCTCTGCTTCGTGATTTCCATTCTTCAATGGACACCAAAGTTCTTTGTATGAATGAATATTTGATTGTTGTTTGATTAGTTGATGATTATAAAACACAAAGATTCTTTATCTTGGAGTCTTTATCAACTTGTAGTAACAAAACTGATTATTTTCTATATACTACAACATAAGTAATTGTTTTCTTTTATTTATCTGTTGTGCGACGTGAATAGATAAATATTTGAACTTGACTGATTCAGTTGTATTTGGAGTCTTTGACCAGTGAATTAAAGATAGTGATTACTATGTTTTATACTCGACAATTGATAAGTCAATTTTGTTTCAGTAATTAATTTGTGTTAACCACCAAAGCAGGCTTAAGACTTAACTTGTTCGATCTAATGAATCTTCTAATCATATAGCATACACGATTTCCAGAAAAAGAAACTATGTACTTCACCTCTTATCCTAGTAGGTTTTTTCACGCAAGCAGTGTAGGAAGTCTCCTTCGCAATGCTCTCCCATATTCTAGTTAAATCTTCCTTCAAATCTGCTCGAGTTCCTTTTAATCCATTTGATGAGTTCAGCGTATATAATTTCGAATACATGGGAAATTTTTGAACTCCTCTAGTATTCTGTATAATTCACTCATCATTGAATTAGCAGTCTGCTCTGCATCATTCTTGACGACTGTAGCATGTTTTCCTGACGTATTAGTTTCACCAGATCAAACATTTCGAATAAATGGTTTACGATTCAACGACTTTTTTGGTACAATCTTCTGATCCTCGTATAACAAGTCCATGATTTCATCAAATGTTGTATCCATATAATGTTAATCAAAGCTGATACTATAATCAAATTCTTCTTCACTTAGCTAATGTACTTTAGGAGCCAAAGGTAAGTGACTAAAAACACTTTTTTCTGAAATTTCTGGAATTAGAATGAACTACTTTTGTTGATATGTTATTCTCGTATTCATCATTAACGATGATTATGGAGTGATCATTTTGTTGTTCACCTAGATAGTTTAATTATTAGGGAGCAGGCTAAAACTTGCTTGAATCTGAGTTTCCTATTTTAGGCGTGGCAAGTGTCTGATAAGGAAGTTGGTAATTAAAATCACCCCTACAGTTGTTCTCATCAAATGTTGTACATACAAGCTTCCTATGCTTGAATGACTTATTAGCTAAATCCTTAGCTACTACAGTTCTAGAACTGTTTCCTTATGCATTCTGAAGGACTGTATATTCATTAGCATTTGTCTCTTCTTCTTTGTTTAATTTAATAGTAGTCAGTTTGTTCTGAAACTTAATTTTTCTCCCTCCTGTGCTAGAAATTCACCATTCTAGTCGCTGCTAGAATAAGGTTCATGGTTTCTTTAAGAACTTCATTTGCACTTTCATTGAGAACTTTCATCATTGAATTTGCAGCAGTCTGCTCTGCATCATTCTTGACAATTATAGCATGCTTTCCTGACCTATTAGTTTCTCCAGATCCATCGTTTCGAATAAATGGTTTACGATTCAATGGCTTTTTTGGTACAATTTCCTGATCCTTGTATAACAAGTCCATAATTTCATCAACTGTTGTATCCATATAATGTTCATGCTCATACTATAATCAAATTCTTGTTCTCTTAGCTTAATGTACTTTAGGAGCCAAACATAAGCGACTAAAAACACTTTTTTCTGGAATTTCTGGAATTAGAATGAACAACGTTTGTTGATCTATTGTTCTCGTATTCATCATTAATGATGACTATGGAGTGATCATTTTGTTGTTCACACATATAGTTTAATTATTTAAGAGTGGGCTGAAACTGGTTTGAATCCGAGTCCCTGTTTTAGGCGTGTCAAGTGTACAACTTAAAGATTCTTTATATTGGAGTCTCAATCGAGTTTACTAATTGTTTTATTTCATTAATTTTTTACATGTTGTTAATCTACACATCTGTTAATATCACTGATTTTCTAGACCTTGGAGTCTCTGAACAATCAACTAAAAATAGTGATCACCAAGCTCTATTTTTTACAATAGACAAGTCAATTTGAATGGTCATTTATGTCATTGTCTGGTCAACAAGCAACTACTAGATTTTTTTTTAAAATAATGAAATCGCGTCAAGAAATAAGATTCTCATAGAAAATAATCATAAATTATAGACATGAAAGAAAGCATGAGTGAAAAGCTAAGGATATCCCGAAGAAAACCTTCAAGTTCTAGGAAAGACATTCTAACTATTTTGCTTTGTATATGGTGTTCTTTTCTGTAATTTTTTTAAAGTTTACTCCTTTTTGTTGTTCAAGTTTGGTATGTCAACATATTGGCAGGAAAAATTATATTTGCGTCATTCTTTGCAATATGATAGTATACCACAATTCATTAACTAAACAAGTAACTGAGGTCCACTAGAAAGTGCAATCTTAGAGTTCAACTTAGTTGTGTAAAACTAATTGTAACAAGTTGTGGGCATATTTTGATTTTTATTTTCCTTTATTTTTCTAAATCTTATTTTATGTATACTATAAGGTATGGCACCTAGTAAGCAATGGATGCAAGTTGTTGACAATCGACTCGATGAAATCTACTTAGACGGTGTGCAGAAGTTTTTGAATTATGATGCCTTTCAAAGAACAGGAGAAGAAAATGAAATACGATGTCCATGTATCAAATGTTTCAATACAATTTTAGGAACTCGTAAAACAGTTGAGACACATTTTCTAGTGTATGGAATAATTTGAAACTATACTTTTTGGTATCATCATGTAGAACGTTTGGGTGAGCCATTGTCAAAATCAGATACGAAATCTAATGATGAAGATGGTGATGCAATAGAAGAATGTGAGAGTGATGATGAAGTAGAAGAATTGTTGAGAGATTTATATCCTAATCATAATGGAGGAAGTACACACACAGATTGTGATGATTTACTTGAGGAAGAACCAAATGTTGAAGCAAAAAATGTTTACAGCCTATTGAAGGATTTCGAGCAGCCATTGTACCAAAATTCAAAAGCTTCAAAGCTTTCCTCTTTGATCAAATTGCTTCATATCAAAAGTATGGGTCGTTGGAGTAATGCGTCATTTACAATGTTATTGAAAATATTGAAAGAGGAGTTGTTGCCTGATGGCGCTGATTTGCCAAACTCATATTATGAGGCAAAGAAGATAATTAAAGAACTTGGGCTTTCTTATAACAAAATTGATGCTTGTACTAATGATTGCATGTTATATTGGAAGGAGGATAGCTTACTCGATTCTTGCAAAGTTTGTGGTGCGTCCAGATGGAAAATAAATACACATAGTGGGGAAACAAGTAATAAGAAAGGTAAAAACATAGCTTCAAAGAGTTTACGCTATTTTCCCTTAAATCCTAGACTTCAGAGGTTGTTTATGTCTACAAAGACATCTACTCTAATGACATGGCATAAGGATGAAAGAGTTGATGATGGAATAATGAGGCACCCAGTTGATTCAATGGCATGGAAATCATTTGATGAACTTCATCCTTCATTTGCACTTGACCCTCGTAATGTTCGACTTGGACTTGCTAGTGATGGATTCCAACCATTTTGGAATTCAAAAACCTCACATAGCATTTGGCATGTGGTTCTTATTCCTTATAATTTATCACCTTGATTGTGTATGAAACAAGAAAATTTCATTTAGTTAATGATTATTCCTGGTCCAAATGGTCCTGGAGATGCAATAGATACATATCTCCAGCCATTAATAGAGGAATTGAAGGAGTTGTGGGAAGTTGGTATTGAGACTTATGATGCATCAACTAGACAAAATTTTAAGTTGCATGCTTCTTTGTTATGGACCATCAATGACTTTCAAGCATATGGAAACTTATCTGGATTGAGTACAGAAGGAAAATTGGCATGTCCATGTTGCAATAAAGATACTTCTTCAATTCGATTGACTAATTGTAAGAAGCAGTGTTTTATGGGTCATCGTCGTTACCTTCCTCATAGTCATAAATGGAGGAATGAGACGAAGACATTTGATGGAAACAAAGAGGAAAGGCCCGTACCAAAAATACGTTCTGGTATTGAGATACTTTATCAAGTGCAAGATCTTGAAGGGCTTCAGTTATCAAAAGATCCAAAGAAAAGGAAGAAAATTTCACATGAAAAACGGCAGGATAATTGGAACAAGAAAAGTATCTTTTTTGAACTTCCATATTGGAAGTGTCTCTTGTTGCGACACAATTTGGATGTTATGCATATTGAAAAGAATATATGTGATAATATTATGGGTACAATAATGAATGACAAAGAAAAGACCAAGGACACAATTAAAACACGGTTAGACTTGTAAGAAATGAACATTAGGTCGGAATTGCATCCAATTCAAAAAGGGGAGAAAATTGAAGTTCCAACTGCATGCTACACATTGTTTCCTGAAGATAAGCACAAATTATGCCTTTTCTTAAAAAATCTAAAGATTCCTGATGGTTTTCATCTAATATTTCTCAATGTGTGAACCTAAAAGATCAGAAGATATCTGGATTGAAAAGTCATGATTGTCATGTTTACTCCGTCTTGCACTTCGTGGTATGCTGTCTAAAGAAGTGTGTGAACCACTTATTGAGTTTTCAATATTTTTTAGTGTTCTTGGATCAAAGGAGTTGAAAATTGATAACTTGAATCATATTGAAGCTCAAATTCCCATAACACTTGGCAAGTTAGAAAAGGTCTTCCCTCCTTCATTTTTTGATGTCATGGAGCACGTACCTATTCATTTAGCTAGTGAAGCTAAGATTGCTGGACCGATTCATTATCGGTGGATGTATCTTGTAGAATGATGGTTGTATTTTTTGAAATCTCTCATTGGTAATAGGGCATGTCCTGAAGGTTGTATTGCAGAAGGCTATATTGCAATTGAATGCATGACCTTATGTTCGAGGTATCTGCATAGAATTGACACAAAATTCAATCAACCTGAACGAAATTTTGATGGTGGTTTAAAAAAATGTAGTGGAGGCTTAACTATATTTTGTCAACCCGGAAGAACTCTAGGAGCTAAAACTCCATGTGAGCTTGAAGCAGATGAATTAGAACAAGCACATATATACATACTGAAGAATTGTGATGAAGTTTTACCATTTCTCGAGTATGTAGAGTTCTTTCATATCATCTTATTATTATCATTTCCTTTAGGATACTTTCCTTTCTATATCAGATTTATGGTTCACTTCAATTTTGTAGAGAGTTTGCACAAACTCATGAGAATGCTCGACACTTGTCTGATGCAGAATGGAACCGACAATTTATTGAATGGTTTAAAGATAGGGTGAGTAATACATAAACATCAAATTTGATATTTAAATATGTTAATCCTAATTCTAAAATAATCAATGTAATATTGTTAATAGGTCGCACAATTGCACAAAGGATATGAAAGTCGTATGATGGAAGATCTCCTGTCACTTTCACGCGGTCCTACACAATATTTGAGGTGTTCTAATGGTTATGTTGTTAATGGATATAGATTTCATGTAGAAGATTATGATAAGAAGTTAAGGACTCAAAACTGTGGCGTTGTTGTATTGGGTGAGAATGATAAAGATAGTGAGAACCTTGATTACTACGGTGTATTAACAGATGTGATTGAGTTGCAATTTTGTCATGGATAGAAGAGTGGTTTTATTTTGATGTAATTGGTTTGATGTGTATGATGAAATAAAAGGAGTTAAAAAGGATGATGATTTTGTGAGTGTTAATCCGGGTAGATTTTTGAAAATTAATGAGCCCTTTGTTTTAGCAAACCAAGCATCCCAAGTGTTCTATGCTAATGATAATTCCAACAAAGGTTGGCAAGTCGTTATGAAGACTCAACCTCGTGATTCCTTTGAGATTATCGAAAAAATGAATGATGATATTGTAGAGTTAGGAAGTCCTTCACAAAAGAAACGAAAAAGAACTAATGAGGTAAAGTTTTTTTTTCTTTTTATGAATTGATATATTTATTGTTACACTTTATGAAAGCATGATTTATTTTGTAACTACACTGTCATACATTTTTCCTTATTATTTTTTACTTTTGGACTTTTCTGCAGGTTCAAGATGAAACTAGTCAAGACTGAAAATGAGGACAGTTCAACTATGAAGAGTACTTTGAGATATACATTTGTTGCGCCTGGTTCTATTGGAAAGGGACGAGGACGAGGACTTGGACTTAAATCGTTGGGTGAGAAAGGGAATATGCCAGCTAAGAAGTTATTTTCTCAATCTAATGATCTTGTTAACCACTACATCCAAGAAATTGAAACAAGTAAGATATTTTGTTTTTATTAAACAGAAAGTTATATTCAACTAGTAATCGTTATGTACTACCAAGCTATTACACTCTGTTTCTTTTTCTGTTTCACAATCTGTTCTTCTCAACGAGTTCTTGTCGTTGTTCTTCAGCTTCTCATACTCCAAAACACTATGTTAAGTATTGATAATATTATTTATTTTCTCTACGTTCTATAGGGAAGACTCGAGGACTAGGACATAAAAGTTCTACAATGTCTAGTAGTCAAGAAATGGAAACAATGCATAAGAACTCCCTGGCTCTTGAGAAAGAGAACATGAAAATTAATATTCCATCTCCTACATGTACTAATCAAGTTAAGCAATACACCAAAGAAGTTGAAACAAGTGAGTTTGTTTTCAACCTGTTGTGTTTTTTTTTTCCAGAACTATTGTATTATGAGGAATTGTTATGTTATATTTTCTCGGATGCAGGTGCTACAAGAAAGGGAATAGAGAAAAGAACTGAGTCTACAATGTCTTCTAAAAGCACAAGATCGAATACTACCAAGTCTTCTAGTCAAGAAATGCGAAAAATGGACAGAAATCCCTTGGTTAGTGAGAATGATGATATGCAAATCAATATTTTATTGCCTCCATCTACTGATCAAGTTATGAAACACACCGAAACAACTGAAAAAGGTATGATATTCTTAATACATATGTTATGTTATTAGTTTGTAGAACTGAATTTGGTCGCTAGTCTTTACCAAATTATGAAACTGTAGGTTTGCCTAATCCAAAAAAGGTAAGAAGAGTTCGAGGGAGCAACATGTGCAAAGAAGTTGCTGCACTTGAAATTGGACAAAAGCTGAAAGTAACCTTTTACAATAATCGAACGGTTGGAACAAATAGAAAATTGTTTTCGAGGCATTTGGGAAAAATTGTTCGTGATCGTAATATATGTCCATTGGGAGTATCATCGTGGAATGATATTAAATAAGAAAAGTTGAATCATATGTGGGCAGCCGTTGACGTAACAAATGCCACCTGATTCAACATCTTTATTGTTATTTAATACATCTGAGTATTCTTGTCCATATAATAGTCATTAAGGTAACAAATGTATATGTGATTCAAATATAGAGTTTTTTGTCGAATAATTTTCACATTTCCCATGTGCTACTGCATCAAATGTATGTAAATTTGCCCGTGTCTTCAAGGGTCCAGACTTGGACATCTTTGTGTGCCTCATGGATTTTGATTCCTTGAATGTGCTTGGCAATGTGAGAAGGGATTGTATCCATCAGTTTTGGCATATTCCATATTTCAGTTTCAATGTAGTCCGAGATTTTGATATTCTTAGAGCTTTGTTGATGATTAAGGAGGTTACAGAGGGGGCCTTTTCTCGTCCAGTTATCCCACCAGACAGAGCAATTTCCCTTAGCAATTTTCCAGAGTATGTGATGATAATAATATTTTTTAACCTCCATCATCATTTTCCACATATGAGATTGTCCAGATCTCCATTTATTTCCAACTGGATGAGTTCTAGTACAATACTTAGCCTCTAAGAACTGGTTAAATAGAGAGGTTCTTGTTCGAATATTCCACAAGACCTTAGCTAGTAGAATAACAGTAGTTTTAGGCAACTTTACCCTGAAAAAAGAAGCGGTATTGCAGGGTATAGTCTCAACATCTCGTTTATAACACATTGAAAATAAGAAAGTTTAGTGAAATCAGATTCTCAAGGCCATGGATGTGGTCTCTGTTCCCGCAATAAACAAAACTTTGTACAGAATGATATAGACTTCCCTTATTCTCACTGTTTCTATCATAATTGTAAAGAAACCAGTGTGCCTTTCTTCTCCCTGTTCTGCACTGCTGCACTCTTTTGTTTTTGGTGAACAGGGAAATATATTACTTTATCAAAAAGTGTCTACAAAGACTTGTGGCATTGCCACTGAACTAGAAGGAACAATATTTACAGGAGCACGAGAAGGAGAACTGGTACTTCTTGTACTGCTGCATTCTTGGACTGCCTTCTTGGACTGTAAATATTTTCCTACTAGTTCAGTGGCAATTCTTATACAGGACTGTAAATATTGTTCCTGCTGCAATATTCCTGTACTGCTGCATTCTTGAACTGCTGCAATTCTTATACAGAGATGCAGCAGTCTGCACTGCTGCATTCTTGGACTGCTTCTTTATTTATTAAATTCTCTATGCACAAATAGTATTTGTATTCTTGATAAATGCATCTCAATGTTTGTTTGATCATTTTTTCTTATGTTCTGCAGCTTTTGTTGTTGTTTCTAGATAACACTTGGTGAATTTGAACTGCTTTTGGGGTGAGTGATCGACCTTATTCTAGTATGAACTTTACATGTATACAATATTTAATTGTCGTTTTTTTAAATTTTGAACCAGCAGATTTTGAAGATTGAAGTTTCAAGTCAAGATACAAGTTTGAAAGTAACGCACAAGCTTGCTATTAGTTTTCTACGAATGTTATGCAAAACTCAATAGTATAGTCTAAACTCAGATGTTAGATAAGTTTTTTGATGAAAATATTGCAACTAACATCATGGGATGTTAACCAATTTATTATAATTAATCGCAATCTTTATCTCTATCTTCTTGGTTTTGTCTTTCTATATCTTTTTTTAATCGAGAGTTTTAGTAGAGATTTAGTGTTTGTTAAAGAGTTTTATTTATTGTGATATCAATTTAACTTGGACCATTGATGTTCAATCTAGGGCCAGAAATGTTGCTCGTCTGTAAAGGACAATTTCAGACCAGAAATGTCTCGTCTCTAAGGAATAATCTAGGACCAGAAATATTCTCGTCTCTAAAACTAATAAAGGACCAGATCATTCTTGTCTCTAAACATAATCTAGGACTAGATCATTCTCATCTCTAAAACTAATCAAGGACCAGGTAATTATCGTCTCTAAAACTAATCAAGGACCAGGTCATTATCGTCTCTAAAACTAATCAAGGGCCAGGTAATTATAGTCTCTAAAATGATTTCACGACAAGATTTTTCCCTGTCTCCAATGCCATGTAACAACCAGCCTTTTCTCTTCGTCGCTAAAGGCCAATTGCGACTAAAGCGGTTGCGACCAGACTTTTCTGGTCTCTACTTCGCATTTGGGACCAGATATAGACTTTTAGGGACTAGATTTCTCTTCCTTGGAGACTGTTTTTCTTGTAGTGATAGATGAACAAACTCGGTAATACTATTGCTCCCCCCCCCCCCCCCCCCCCCCCCCCCCCACCCCTGCCTCCAAGATCGAAATTTTACCAGAAAAGAAAGGAATCGCTGAACACTAATACAACCAGAAATCACTCTGTATTAGCAAAGAGTTGAACATAATAAGTCGAAATTGTTTTTGACCAAAAATCCCCAAACTGAGTTCACAGATGCAGTGACATGACATGCAGCACCAAAGAAAATCAATAGTACACTTGAAAGAGCATTAAGAAAAGGCCTATTTGTTTATACAACCTAGAAAATAAATGGATAAGTCAACACAAAAGTTTTCCGTGAAAGCCATGCCTCTAAGAGAAATGTTGAATGAGAAAAATGTATGCTAAGTTTTACATGACTGAGAACTACTAATAGGATAGAACCACCGAGTGTTAAAAAGTTCTTACAGGTTTACTGATGACTGCATTCCCTTGGGTAACCCCTAATGTAAGGTTGGTTAAGCAAATTTAAGTATGCCAACATTTCTCATAGCACTCATCGACTTAGTTAATTTCTCATAGCACTCATCGACTTAGTTAACATTGTTGTACGTTATATCTATTTCATTCACAAGTGGAACAGATACTAAAAGCATCAAAGTGACTGATATAAGATCAGTGAACAGATCATCTTCAGGCAATTTTCAGAATAATAGAAATTTCATGTTGTAAAAGCACAAAAGGAGCAGAGAAGTGTCCTATAATTTTGTAAATTCAACAATCAGGTAATGATATTCATCATAGCAACACCACCACAACTTGTGTGAGAAGAAATTTGTACATAAAAAATAGCGTACCAGTGTTTAGAATACGCAACACAATCTCGTCGAGTGCAGAATTTGACGGAGCACAAACTAGAACACGAACACGATCACTCAGCCAATAAGACTTTTTTAGGATATCACTCAGCCAATAAAATCCAAAAGAATACACCATCTTCCGCCCAGGTTCTCCATCCATCTAGAAAGAAAGGAGATCCAACTGCTAGAGTTGTTGGGTTATGGTTATTATATTACTCAAGTACCTGGGGTTTGTATCAAGATCAGATCGCTACAATTTCCTTTAATCTAACAAAGAAAAACCCTAGAATAACTCCATATGAAAAACCAAAAATCAAATTTAAAAATTGTTTTCAACTTGAACCCTA